GTAAAGTTCAATACGGGACTGCCCAAAAAATAAAGTGTAAAATTTAATAAGGACCGGAAAGAGTACTCCGTAAAAATTACAGTCAAGAAGAGAAGTAATTAATGCTGAGTGCACTAAGAAAATTACAGTGAGCCCACTCCGGTGTCAAATCATGGGTATGATGATAGTTCATAATATGTGATATTAGATAGTTTAGAGTTTTTTAGTTGTTCTGTTGTTTTTTTATCGTAAAAGAGCGACTTTATATTAAAAATGAGAATGCATACAAGGCAACCTTTAGACAAATTTTACAGATCCAGTCATGAACCCCTTGGAGTAGGCAATAGGCATAGAGTTAGTCACCTCATACAAAACAAGTTGACTCGCTAAACTTGAAACGGGCAAATTTAAGCCTAAAACGAACGGATCTGAAACTCTGCATATCAAAAGAACTCCAAAAATCCAAAAATTCAAACCAAATCTACTCGGACCAAAATAGAAACAAGTACTACTAAAGAGAAAATAATATCGAAATAAAAACTTTCCACAAAACTTTTCCTGGTTTGAAGGTGATTCCGGAGGAGGACGAACTCTTGCAATATAGATGAATACCAACTCCACAACCGTCAGAGCGGCCGACCAAGGCTTCACGAGCCAGCATTGATACAACATCTCATCCGCAACTCGTTCATCCGCCAACACTATCTCCTCAGACGCAGTTGCAATCCCAAGTGTTAGGGCACTTGAAATCAGTATAATATGTCGCTTCAACCCCATATTGATAGGGGCGGTGGAAAATCTCACCCCCTACAAAGAATGGAGACAACCGTTATCGTTCCTCTCTTAGAGAGATAGTATGAAAGAAGAATCATCTCCCATGGTGTTCTGTTGTTAAACAACAACTACCTCCGTCCCTCTGTTATTGTCCTATTGCGGTTTACGATGCTTGACTGACGATAAAGCAAACAGATCCCTGTCCGCACTAGAATTATTTTTAGGAAAAAAAAATTGCATATTCAGAAACTACATTAAAAGGTTTACAAAGTCGCAAAAACCAGAATCAAATTTGATAAAAATTTGTTAAATAAAGTAAGAGATTAAGAATTATTTGTGTTGACCAAGAGAATAGGAAATGTGACAATAATAGGGGGACGGAGGGAGTAGTATTTTAATAATCATTGGTATTTGGGTTAGGAAAAAGGATTATTATTATTTGTATTATATAATGAGTTGTTGGTACACTCATTAACCTACTACAAAGTACAATTTTGGATTTGGGACAATGCAACGGAACGGGATGTGTTCTACTTATCCCGGTCCCGTTTTGTTTTGAAACGGTTCAGGACCGATACGGAACAAAAATAATGTTCCCTAATATAACGGGACAATTTCACAACGGAACCAAAACATTTCGGAACGGACCAACGAGACTAGGTCTTTTCCCCACCCCTATGGAATAGAGCAGCGGAAGGCAAAAGAAAGAGCACAGTGGCATGCGGGATCTAAGCAAAATAAATCCTTATATACTCTAGTTTTTACAAAAAAAAACAAATCAAAATTAATTACTTAGTAGTTTTTAAGATTTTTCATATGCCATCACGGTTGGGTATACAATTTTTTTAAAAAAAAACTGAAGTTTTAACTGTTGGGATTTTTAGATCCATAATGTTTCCATAATATATTCAAGTGCTAATGAACTGATAATGAATTTATGATTAACCTCGTGTTCGAATTCGAACAACTGGCATGAAAGGTTGATGTGCAAAATATTTTCATAAAAGTATAAAATTTATAAATTATACTTCATCCGGTTCCAAAAGATCTTGACACTTTGACTTCACACTTTTTAAGGAAATAAATTTGACTTTACTGGAGAGTACACTGTTTGGCACTGTTCGACACTGTTTTGTGTAGATTTATTTTCCAAATAAGGCAAATAAGGAAATGTAAAGATCTTTCTAGTACTGCTAAAAATAGAAAGTGTAAAGATCTTTCAGAACCGGAGGAAGTATACAAATACTACCTCCGTCCCGGTGGACTTTGCCAAATGCAAAGTAGGTGAGAAATAAGAATAGTAAAAACTGTGTAATTGATATTTGTGCAGAGGAGAGAAATGTGCAGAATCACAAATTAGTTGCTTTAATAGGAAAGTGACAATGTTTTTTGGGACAACCTAAAAGGGAAAGTTGACAAAGTTCAATTGGATGGAGGTAGTATAATAATTAAAATCATTGTCCAAAGTTTGCCATCATTGACCAAGAAAAGTCAATCTGGCAAATCTTTTCGGGATGTAAGTGTTGGATTCGTCCTTTGGGAGCTAATACAGGTAAACTTGACTGTGACGAAATATGAGTTTATTTATCTAGGAGCTTTAGTGGTTAGTTTATGGGCTACAACATTATGTGAGCATGAGCCCGCCATATTAAACTTGTTTCATTTTCTTTTGTCAAAAATAACTAGCATGTAGCATAATAATGTAAATTTTATAAATTAACAAAAACTATAAATTTATTATTTTAAAAACTAGCATGTAGAAAAATAAAGTAAAATTTATAAATTAACAAAAACTATAAATTTATTATTTTTTTAAAATGACGAATTTATTGGAATATTTAAGACGGGATGTTGACAAAATAATATAGAAAGTACACTAAAAAAGGAAGTGCATTGGTACAAAAGAGTGAAAGACTCCTACAAAACGGAGTACAGCGAAGAATATAAAATTCGCCGCGCCCGATACGTACCATATCCTACGGAGTATGTAGACAGAGAAAAGATTTCTCAAAACTGTAATTGAATGCACAAACATTTCTTATGACGGTGCATTCTTCTTCCTCTTCAGATTTCTGAAGATTTCATAAAGAACTCATAAAGATTGGGGGAGTGAGAGGGGAGACGATTTCGATTTTGTCTCCATCTCTCTCAATCTTCCCCTGGTTTCGTCTCACACATTCAGAGAATCAGCAGATTATATAGATATGAGATTTCCATCATTTTTATATACAACAACAGGTCATGCAGCTCTGTAGACACATTTATTATGGATCAAAAGCTTTCGTTACGCCATTTCTGATTTTCCCTATAAACCCCCCTCCCCCTCTTTATATGTAAACTTTTTGTTTCCCACTCCTTCCAGAATTTTCCATGTTTTCCTCTGCCGTTATGTTTTGAAAACCCTAGCTGGTTGAATTTCGAGTTTCGGTTTTGAACTCTGTTCAATGGGGTATCATGGTAGCCGTGGCGGACCTGGTTGCTCTAGAGGGCCTAGAGTGGATGATCGTTTGGCCACGACTCATCCTGATCCCTCGGTCATTGGCGAGGAATGCTGGTCATCTGCCGAAGAAACCACCATGGAGTTGTTGAATTGTATCCATCCCACAATGGATTCCGAGGAGAAGAGGAAGGACGTCATGGAGTTTGTCCAGAAACTGATCAGAGATTCTCTTTCTTGCGAGGTTCCATGCTTTTCACAATTCTCTTTTACATTCCCGCTTTTATGTTCCCTGTGTGATTCTGCTAGTATTCTTCGTGCATTATATTCATTGGTGCTGGAATGAGTAAAATCAAGTGTTTATTCTGCTTCAATGTAAAAATTTAATACTCAGTATTCAAAATGGGTGGGCGATGTACTTTGTGAGTTTGGCAGTTCCTTGGAGAACCCAGATTTTGATGTCCAAACTCCAAAGCATTAGATGATTGTTTTGGAGAGTTGTTATGCTAGATCGCCCATTGGCAGATTTATATGACACGTCTGTGTCTAAGATTTTGATATCAAATTCATTTTAGCAGTGGTGTATTCTCATCACTGCACATTGTATTTTCTTTGGGTAGCAGGTGATTAAGATTTTCACTTTTACTGTGCACATTCATTGATTCAATACCTACCCATGTGCACATTTTGTATACACTGGATCAATTGTATACGCGCCTCACCCCTGGCGTAGGCCCAATGCTGTGGATCCAGTTGACTATTAAGAATTTAAGAGCCTAAGGCCCCACTATTGTGGGCCATCATGTTTTGTTCCAAGAGTAGATGAAAACGAGGATGAATTGGAACGCTGGTACTGTATCAGTGGTAAATCATACGGAGTAATAGTAGATGACCTTTTAAAAAGATAAACAAAAGCATTTACATAGGGAATTGCATTTTTCCCCTAAGCAATTACCGAGTACATTTTTCCCCTAGCATAATAAGTTCCTGCTGGGACTTATTATTTATGATAAAATAATATTTAAAATATATTGTATTAATAAAATAAATAAAAATTACTTCGTATATGAAAAATAGCTAAAATGACCCCCTACAATAACTTAAGCAAAATAGCGTAAGAAAAAGTGTTTTTTCTTATTATTACACAATTCAGCGTGCGAAATCAAAAATTACGTGTTTGGTGAAAAGTTGAATGATAAGCCGAAAACAGGGTCACAAAACGGGCAGAATTACCTTTCATTTGTGGTTCCTTTTTAAGAGACCTGCCTTTTACAAAAAAAGGCAAAAAATAATAATTTTCTTACGCCTCCTTTGTGTGGACTCTGGAGTATGTTGATTCGTGGTTTAACTAGATATATAGTGACTTAATTGCCATGCCATTATATTGAAGACTTTTGCTTTTAGACCGTTTTAAGTTCCACGTCAGATCAGATCAGATCAAACTTTCATAGTTATAAAATTCATAGAGATCATACATTTATCAGATCAGATCAAACCAGATCAAATCAGACCAGACCACATCAACAAATTTAAGTCTAAAAGAAAACATCCTAACTCCAACTAAAGGTTCATGAGATTCTTATGGGGAATAAATAATACTCCCTCCGTCCCGAAATTAACTTCTCACTTTCCTCTTCGGGCAGTCTCGAAATTAATTTCCCACTTCTTTATTTGGAAACAAATCTACATCTAAACAATGTCAAGCAGTGTCGAAATAGTAAATTTTACTCCCCAATATATTTATTTCCTTAATATGTCTGAAATCCAAGTGGGAAGTTAATTTCGGGACGGAGGAAGTACGGAGTAGTAATAATAATGCCATAGATGCAGTTTCAAAATTCTTATTATCTGTCAAAAAACTTGACAAGATTTATTATCTAGCATTCAGAATCTTTGTCAAAAAACTTTGACAAGATTTACTATTTATCATTTAGGAACGGAGTGAGTATTTTTTTAGGGTTGACCGGATTCTAGAACTTCAGTGTGATATAATTTCTGTACTTGGTTACAGGGATGTATTGATAAAGTTATACTCATAACATTACTTTGTTTAATGAATTTCATTTTACATGGAATATAACTATATTTGAAAACATTAAATCTCTCATTAAATAAGTTTCTTTACACAGTATGTTGGGTAATTTTTTGTAGGCTTTTCCATATGGATCAGTGCCTCTCAAGACCTATCTTCCGGATGGAGATATTGATTTGACTGCTCTTACTGGTCCTAGTACTGAAGAATATTTGGCCCGTGATGTCCTTGCTCTTCTGAGGGAGGAAGAACAAAAAGAAAATGTTGAGTATAAAGTCCAGGATACCCAATTCATTGATGCTGAGGTTGTCTTGATTCTTGATGCTTCATAAAGTATACGGAGTATTATTTTATGAACTAACCTGTGTTCTAGAGGCATGTATTGTTGTTTGTTGATTTCATTATGGCATCTAAGGGTATTTATCAAGATATCTACCCTTAGCTCATCTCTTTATTAATAGATGTAGTTTTTAATGTAATAGGGTTTTTGGATAAAATTAACTAGGCAACCTTCAATTTGTTAGGGTTTGTTTACAGTATTCATGGATTGTTAATGTTTTTGTTGTAAAAGAGATCTTTCATTCTGAATAATGAGATTTTATAAAGTTGAGCATCTATGGGTTGGTGGATTCGTGGAAGACCGTGGGGTGTGATATATCAACTATCAAGTCTGGGGGTGATTAATTGATTTGGGTAAATCTAAAATAATTTGTGCGGTTGGTTAAAGTATGTGGCATTTGGAATAGTATGGGTTTTGGAGTGAGTCAGTTTGAGCCTTTGAGTTGATGGGTTGATTAATAACCTTCATGCAATTTGATACTCCGTAACAAATACTTGTAGAAATTAGAAAAGCTTTGAAAAAACTGACAGTATGTTTTTTTATTTTAACTGATGTAACAAAGATTTTTTACATACAGCCAAAAATGTGGCTGTATTTCTTTAATTATCAAATTTACGGAGTAATTCTTTACATGTTGTATTGTACTTTTAAACCCTTTTAAAATGATCTTTTAGCTTTCCCATCTGCTAAGAGTCTAATACGATTGGATGTCTGATGGCAGGTTAAACTTGTTAAATGCCTTGTACAGAATGTTGTCATTGACATATCTTTTAATCAGTTAGGAGGTCTCTGCACACTTTGCTTCTTAGAGCAGGTAAAACATAAATTTCCCTCTCTCGTTCTCTTGTTTATTGTGAGAGGGGAGACTTGCTAAACTTCAGTTTATTGTGAAGTTAAGTAAGAACGGAAAAAGAGTATTTGATTAACTATTACTCTTTCTGTCCCAAAAACAAATTTCCTTTTGGTTTTATGATGTTTGATCAATGATAAAGTTAACTCTTCTCTGACTAGAAATTTACATATTTAGAAAGTGCACTAAATATTCTATTTAACTGCAAAAATCGATTTCGAATATGATAGTCTCATATATAAAATCAGAAATTAAAATCGAATTAAATTGGCTTCAGTCATAGTGAACATGAACTTAATTTTGGGATGGAGGTAGTATTAAACTATTTTTTATTAAGGTCCGTTTTCTTCAAGTTTTTTTTAAGCTTACGTAAGTGTATAACTGGATGGCGATGTTTTTGAATAAATTGTAGCTTTTAAAAAAGTCTGTCTTCTAATTTTAAATATAGCAAGGCGGTTAAAGATTTATATTTCACCGTTTATATCTTTCCCTTAAATAGCAGACTTAGAGAAATGTTAGTTTCCAGGACTAAACATCTGGTGATTAATTTTTTCAATTTTTTAAATCTTGTTGACATTTTGTTCATACAGGTGGATCGTCTTGTTGGCAAGAATCATCTCTTCAAACGCAGTATTATGGTGATAAAGTCTTGGTGTTATTATGAAAGCCGAATCCTTGGTGCTCATCATGGCCTCATATCTACTTATGCATTGGAAACACTGGTCCTATATATCTTCCAGTTTTTCCATTCATCTTTAAATGGTCCTCTAGCGGTAATTGCATGCGGAATTGCATAATTTGCCCTATCTTATGGAGAAGTTTGTGTTATTGTAGCTCATCAAAGTTCTTTAAATTCTTTTTAGGCACTCTATAGATTTTTGGATTACTACGGTAAGTTTGATTGGGAGAATTACTGTGTTAGTTTGAATGGGCCAGTTCGCAAGGCATCCCTTCCTGAAGTTGTGGGTAAGCAGTAGGTTTGTCTGTTAGATCTGTTTGTTCTAAATATTTATGAATTTCTTGCACAATTGTGTGTATGCATCCAAGTGCAATTGAAGGGAAATATGGAGTAGGAATTTGAAATGAAGACAATTTGATATTTTTCCAGATTCATTTTTATGTATTTATTTTTATTCTATAAAGACTATGGAGCACTCATACACATAAAAAAATTAGAAGTATTTATTTTTATGCTATAAAGACTATGAAGCACTCATACACTTATAAAAAAATTAGAAGTATTGATCATATTGATCAAATCAAACACTAGGAAATAGCTTGGGTACCAGTTTCTTCTTCTTCTTCTTCTTCTCCCAAGCATTTCTAGGATGTTTGGTGCGTAGTTCTTTCTTAAATACTGATCATATTTCTGTTTTATTGGCTCACTCAAGATTGGGTATCTTTTCATTTGCAGTTGAGAAGCCTGACAATGGAGCGAATGAGGTATTGCTCAGTGAAGAATTTTTTAGGAACTGTATGGAAATGTTCTCAGTTCCATCCAGTGTTAGCGAAAGCAGCCGCGGAAGACCATTCAAACTAAAGCATCTGAATATAATTGACCCATTGAAGGATAATAACAATCTTGGGCGCAGTGTTCATAGAGGTACAACCAATGAACTTCTATGTCTCACTTTATTGGAAAATTTGGCCTTTGCACTGCATGTTTCACCCCGATATTTGATCTTGCATCCCATATTTTGTTTTCTATGGAGTGCACTGCAGAGTGGATCCTTTATATTAGACTTTGTACCCCATGATATACCTTATATTTGATTTTGCACTCTCATTCCTCAAACAAAAGCTAACACGATGTTCATTAATGAAATTTTCATTTTGTGGTTCTTTTGGTACTAGAAGACATCTGAGGATAAATTTTTCAAATAAGAACAATAAATGTAGTTGTGCTGGTGTTTACTCTGTAGCCGTACTAGTACTGATACTCCTAATGTCAGGTGGGTGGCAGCGCCGGTAACAGGCAGTAACAGCTACTGTTGCCACCGGGCAATAGCAACCACAACTGACGGTGGTGCCGGATACTAGTAACCGCCGTTTGTAGCAGCATTGGACAGTAGTAGCTAGCTACAGAGATGGAAACTCTGATGCATGATGCTAATATTGATGTAGCTACTGCTACTATCAGTAGTTATTTAGTAACAATGCGTACATATGGCTGCTGTTCTTATTTGCATATAAAAATGTTAAAAGTGATGTTTTTGTATTTAACTATTTATAAATTGGTTAAGCTGTTATTATGAAATTCTCCCTTTTTATTTTTTCTTCTAAATATATCAGGTTAGTTTATAGTCAATTTGGTTGTGTGTAGGTAATTACTACCGCATACGTAGTGCTTTCAAGTATGGAGCACGCAAGCTTGGTCGGGTTCTCTTATCCCCTCAAGATAAAATTGGAGATGGGATAAAGAAGTTCTTTGCAAACACCATTGACATGCATGGCCAGAACCCCTTGTATAATTTAAAGAACTCATCTTCCCTAAAAAATTACCCCAGCAGTATGTCGTCATATGAGGATGAAATGCCTTTGAAACCATCAGTTGGCTATTGTGATGATAGTAACAGTAGTGTTGAATGGGAAGATAAAGTCGGCCCTTCAATATTAAGAAACGAAGTTGATGCCAAGCTGATGAAAAAAGTAGTTTATGAAAATAGCTGCTCCACAACTGAGTTTACTGTATCAGGACATGATCTGGTGGCTCCCACAAAGAGCACGGATTGGGTACCCACCCAAAGCGGGCAATTTGATTGTGTTTATGGGAAGCCAGTGTTTGGTTCATTGATAGACCAAAGTGAGATTCTTTCTGAGAGTAGTGCATACCACCAGTCACTGACAGATTACAGTGAGAGCGTCTGTTCTGGTGTTTCGGAAATCTCAACTCCAAAGACAAGCATTTTAGAAAGCTTGCCCCTTGATTTTAGGGAGAGGGACTTGGCCAGCTTAGCTGGCGACGATTTGGAAGTTCTGAATCCTTTAGCTGACCTCACAGGGGATTATGACAGTCATATTAGAAGTTTGGTGTATGGTCAGTGTTGCCACGGGTATGCATCAATGGCATCGTTATTGTTTGATCCCCTGTTTAAACCAGCTCACTATCAAGATTTTGAGTATCTGGACACTGTTCATTATTCAAATACGGGTCCGATTTTTGTGGGACCTGCATTCCTTCCCTCATCTGCTAACAACCCCTTACCATCAAATGTTACTTGCTATGAAGAGATGCCTGAAGCAACAATACCAGAACTGTTCATACCAAAGATGGTACTTTCTTCATTTTTGACTAGGAGCCCATTTGGTTAACTTGATTTTTTGCTTATCAGCTTATATAGGCTGGGTTTTTGCACCAAATCTTAATATTGTTTTAGCCTTGGCTGAAATAAAAAAAGACTGCATTAAGTTCCTTTTAGCTTTACATCTATATTATTTTTATGTACTTTTTTAAGTAACAATTTAATAATAATTTTCTAGATGATTCAACAGATTCAGGAATGTTTGAACCACAACTTCAACTGATCCAGTCATTTTAAGTATTACCAAACAGGGCTCAAGTTCTAGTCTATGTTTTTTAATAGCCCAGATTGGGTAAAAAGTGTTTTTTTTTGTGAACTGAGGCTACGTTTGACTAACTCTAATAGGATGTAATTTATTGTACCCAAATATATTGTAGTGTAAATTTACATTCAAGAATGCATGCAATTACATCAAGTCTGATTACAGCTTACCATCCTCTACCTAAATTCAATAGTACTTCTTTTACAGGATCGTTCTTGCAAAATGAAAGGCAGGAGTAAAGAACTCTCCAGTAAAATCCAGTTCCAAAAAGGGTCTAGTAGCAACGGATGCATTCCTATGGTGTTATCAGAGGCAAACTGTTCTGGAAATGAGGATGATGATGGCAAGCCAGACTGCTATTTCCACTCCCAAAAACCTTCTTGTAAGAAACGTGGGAAGCTTTCTGCATCCAACCAGTATGCCGATCGTGAAGATGAAAATGGTCTCCCGAATTTGCCAAGTGAGATTGAGTTTGGGTCTTTAGGGAAGCTCCCTGACGGTTTTCTTTCAGGCGCTCTTCGTGGTCTAGCCCCACCAACGAATCTCTCTAAAAAACTAGTATGGTGCAGAAAGGAAAGGTATGGCAGTTTTGCATGAAGTGATTTATGCATTACATTTGTGTGGGATTTTTTTTTGAGAGGATGCTTGTGGGTTTATGTATTTCAGGTTTGCAGACCGTTCTTTCCGCCTGAAAAATGAAGAAGAGTTCCCCCCATTAACGCCCATGTGACCCGTGAGGAAGTGAATGAAATCGCCCGGAGGCGAGGGTATATGAGACATAAGTTAGCTGCTAACAAACCATAGAAACACTAGGTTTTTTCTCATTTAGATAAACGTAATGATAAGAAACAAAAGTAAAGCTATAGCTATAGCTATATATACATATTGCATTTGTTAAGGTCATGTAAAAGCCAAGACACTTGCCTATTGGTCGGATGATGAAAAGAAGATAGAAAAATGATTACACTGTATAATCAGCTTTGGCTCTCTGTATAATTACCTGTGGTATATTTACTCTAAACTTGTCCTGGGAGTCCACGTGGATTGCGGAATTGGCCTTGACTTAGGTATGTTTGGGTAATGGTAGAAGTGGTTTTAAGTTAAAAGGCGAAATTCATAAGAACAATCCCTACTTTCATGGATTCTACAATAATAGTTGTGATTGAGTGTTCATAAATGGGTAATGGGGAAAACCGAATCGGTGGATACCCGCATCGAACCTGATGGAGTATATAGGTCTGGACCCTAGGGCCCACATACTCAGGAGAACGGAAGGAACCATGACCACCTGGTGGGACCCTCGTCGGCCAGATGATCCTCATCGGCCAGAAAGAAGTCTACTCAGAATGTGATCCAGAAGCCAGGAAGAGCCGGGTGACCTCGTCTGCTGGGTCTTCGTCGGCCATGCCCTCGTCGGCCATAGACAGTCTCCAGAACAGGATTTACACTTAATCTTTTCCATGTACTTTGTATCCGGCCCATTAGTGGCCCTATTATAGATGGTCCTCCCAAGCCTAAGACTTGGGAGCCCAGCCCTAATATTTCCTATAAATATTCCCTCTGGGAGTAGCTGTAAGGGTTCACAATTCATTAATACAAAGCAATTATAATACTTCTCTCTCTAGCTCTCACTTCTCTCTAGACTTATAGTCTATCATTTGGTGCTCTCGTTGAGAGCCAGAACAATCAAGTTAGCCTCCTTCGTCGCTACCAAGCACAGCTAACTGACAATGGGAAGAACTAAGTCAAATCGCAACCTCCTCAGCAAGGTCATCCCTGAGGCACAGGAGAATCAAGAGCACGAGGAGGATGCTACGGCCGACAAGACCGTCGAGGGGGATGTCTTCCAGGAAGCCATCGACCTTGCAGGAGACCTGTGCAACAAGCTCAACGGCGGCGCTCCCGACGCCCGCCTCGGCTTGGACAAAAAGCGCGTGGAAAAGGGCGACGCCTCGGCGCAACCGGCCTCTCCTGCTGTTGACCCTCAGCTTCAGGTCGCGCTCTCGGCCATCATCGCCAGCTTGGCTCAGAACCCCACCGTCCTCAGCGCACTCATGCCAAGGACGGGGGAGAACACGACGCCACCTCCTCAGCCCTAGCCATTGGCCGTCAGGCTAGGCAACGATGAGGGGGTGGTGCCCCAGGACACGACGTCATCCCACTCCCACCCTGCTTCCCCGCTTCGAGCTGGACCGACCCCAGTGCGTGGAAAAGCCTCAGCCTTTAACAGGCTAGGTGACATGTGCCGTCGGCCTGCTTCGGAGAGGATGTCGGGCGGATTGGGCAGCGTGAGCCTGACTCACCCAGGGAAAGCTTGGGGTCGGTATCCCGGACAGCGGATCGGCCCCACCTGGACAAAGGCAAGGGGAAACTGCATGAGGATGATGCCTGTCACCAAATCAACACGGCTCATGCAGCCCGCTTGCAGACTCAGGGCGCCACCATGGTCGCCAGGGACGAGGTGATCGCCCAACTCGAGCGAAGGCTCGCCATGATGGAGGTCAAACAGCTGGCCGCCACGCCCACCGGCAACTCATCCAGAGATCCCGGCTTCAACGCCCTTCTGAACAAGGTCACTATCCTTGAGAGGGAGTTGGCCGAAGGACGAGGGGACCCCATCATCCAGGTCAGGACGAGGACCCCCTTCACCGCCAGGGTACTCTCGGCCCCTATCCCCAAGAAGTACCGGGGAAATGCCATCAAGCCCTATGACGGCCGCTCCGACCCCCAGGAGCACTTCAGCCGCTACGAGAACAACATGCTGATGGTGAACGCGTCAGATGAATACCTCTGTCGTTAGTTCCTTTCCACTCTTGAAGGGCCAGCGTACGAGTCGTTCAACGCACTCCCCGAGGGGAGCATAGACTCGTGGCAAGACCTTGCCCAGCGCTTCCTCACTCACTTTGCTAGAAGGAAGCGCGCGAATAAATACTTCACCCATCTTCTCTCCATCAAGGAGCAGCATGACGAATCACGCCGGTCGTTCATCGACTGGTGGACGAGGCAGACTGATGAGGTCGAGGGGGCCGATGAGCGCACCCTCCTGGTCCTGTTTCAGGGTGCCCTCTGCAGCACCCCATAGGCGAGGAGCCTCATCACTGACCCACCGAGGTCCTATCTGAAGGCGCTTCAGTAAGGAAACTTGTACGCTGACGCTGACGAGCTCCACAGCCACAAGAAGGACGGTGGGCACCCCTCCAAAAAGACAAACGCCGCGCCAGCCGTGCAAAAATACGTGGGTAAACACCGGCAAACATGGGGGCGAACCCTCGGCGAAGAAGCGTGAGACCGGCAGACTCAGTGACGACGACGAAGACTTCGAAGAGCCCCCTCCGAAGAAAAACCACATCAACCTCATTGTGGGGGGGGGGGCAACACTGGGGGACTCGGCCACCCAGAGGAAACAACTCCCACAGGACCAACGCGAAGGCATCCTCGACGTCCTGCGGTCATACTCAATCATTTTCGCGTGGGGGCCGGATGACAAGCCGGGTATCAACCGAAAAGTGATCACTCACCGGCTGTCAGTCGACCCCGCCTCCACGCCGATCAAGCAGAAGCGGCGCTACCTCTCGGCCGACAGGCGTGACTTCGTCAAAGGGGAGGTTACCATGCTCCTCTCAATCAACCACATTAAAGAGGTGAAGTATCTGACTTGGTTGGCCAACGTCGTCCTCGCCCAGAAGCCGTCGACGTTTAGAATATGCGTTGATTACACTGACCTGAACAAAGCGTGCCCCATGGACCCGTTCCCTCTCCCCAACATTGATCAATTGGTGGACGAGACGGCGGGGTGCGAGCTGATGTCGTTCCTTGACGCCTTCAGGGGGTACCACCATATATTCATGCATGAGGATGATGCCGAGAAGACGGCCTTCATGACCCCGGAGGGAATTTTCTGCTACCTCGTCATGGCCTTTGGGCTCAAGAACTCAGGCACCACATACACCAGAATGGTAGCCAAGGTCTTCAGAGCAGTCCTCGGCCGGACGATGGAGGCATACGTCGACGATATGATCTTCAAGAGCAAGCAATCCATTAGCCACGCCGACGACCTCCGGGAAATTTTTGAGATAATGAAGAAGTTCCAGCTCCGCCTAAATCCGAAGAAGTGCACCTTCAGCGTCCAGGGGGCAAGTTCCTCGGTTACATGGTCAGCCGAAGGGGCATTGAGATCAACCCAGAGAAGATACAGGCTATTGTCAACATGGAGCCACCGCGAAACGTGTAGGACGTACAACGGCTGACGGGACGCCTTGCGGCCCTAAACCGTTTCCTCTCAAAATCGGCTGAAAGGTCTCTCCCTTTCTTTCAGATCATGCGCAAGGCAAATGGCTTCAGATGGATGACGGAGTGCCAGCAAGCATTTGAGGAACAGAAGCGTTACTTATCATCCCCTCCCATGCTTTCCAAACCTAAGGCCGGTGAAACCCTCTTCCTATACTTGTGGGTGAGCACATCGGCCGTCAGCTTCGTGCTCATCCGCGAGGACGAGGGGGTATAGAAGGCAATCTTCTACATAAGCAAGACGTTGCAGGAGGCCAAGCTCAGGTACTCCCCCATTGAGAAGACGGTACTGACCATCGTCCACACAGTGAAAAAACTAGGGCACTACTTCCAGGCCCACGCCGTCCACGTCTTAACTCAGCAACCCCTTGGCGCACTCATGCGGAGCCCCACCAGTTCCTCACGGATGGTGAAATGGGCGATCTTCCTCAGCCAGTTCCAGACCGAGATTAAGCCGAGGCCATCCATCAAGGGGCAGGCCTTGGCCGATTTCATCACCGAGTGCACAGCAGGGAGACGGCCGCTACCACACCAGGGCCAGAGCCAGACGAAGCATGGACTCTCTTTACTGACGGTTCATCGGCCACCAAAGCTTGTGGTGGCGGCGGCGTCCTCATTTCCCCTGAAGGGTTCAGAGCCTACTATGCCATCCGCTTCAACTTCAGGGTATCCAACAATGAAGCCGAGTATGAGGCCCTCCTCAGCGGCCTCAGACTCGCCGTCGGCCTCAAAGCACGGCACATCAGAATTAGGTGCGACTCCAAGCTGGTGGTGGGCCAGATCGAGGGCTCATACGAGGCTAAAGAAGGGAGGATGAGGCAATACAAACAGGCGGCCGAGGAGTTGCTCAAGGCGTTCGAAACCCATGAGATCACCCAGATCCCAAGGGCGGAGAATGTTGAGGCCGACATCCTCTCCAAGCTCAGCACAGACACTCCAGAGCACATCTCCAAGATAGCCAAGGTCGAAGAGCTGAGCATGTCCAGCATCCATGCTAGCCCGGTCACGTGCATCCAATAGTGGCCGGAGGACTGGATTACCGACATCGTGACCTTCGTCACCTCGGAAGAATTGCCCCAGGATGAGGAGAGAGCCAAGTTAGCCAAACTCAGGGCCCCGAGCTACACCGTTGAGGATGGGAAACTTTATAAAAGATCTTACAACGGCACTCTCCTCCGATGCCTGCACCCGGATGAGGCCGAGGTGGCCATGGAAGAAGTCCACTGCGGCGTATGCTCCTCTCACCAGGGCCCCTTCAGCATGTCCCGGCGTCTCGTCGTCCAGGACTATTTCTGGCCGACGATGGTGCGGGATTGTGTCAATCTTGCAAGGAAGTGTACCGCATGCCGGGTCCTTCAGAAAGCCCCTGGTCGACCAGCCGTCAACTATGCCTCGGTCAGCACAGCGATCCCATTCTCAAGATGGGGTATTGACCTGGTCGGCCCCCTGCCCAGAGCCACTGGCAACAACCGCTACATCATCGTCTCGTAGACTACTTCACCAAATCGGTTGAGGCAGAACCTTTGGCCACCATCACAGGGGCCAGGTGTCAGAGATTCGTCCACAAAAACATCCTCACCCGCTTCGGCATCCCTCATGAGATCATATCCGACAATGGCACCCAGTTCGAGGCCGCGCCCTTCCAAGAGCTACTCCAGGAGTGGGGAATCAAGCATCGTTTCTCCTCCGTTGCCTACCCTCAAGGCAACGGGCAGGTCGAGAACGCCAACAGAACCATCCTGGAGGGCCTGAAGAAGAAGCTCCAGGACGCAGGGGGTAGTTGGACCGATGAGCTCCCCAATATTCTGTGGTGCTACCGTACTACGCCGAGAAGGGCAACGGGAGAAACACTCTTTGCCCTTTGCTATGGCTTTGAAGCAAAGGCGCCCACAGAGGTCACCATACCTAGCCGACGGGTGGAGCACTATGAGCCTGAGGCCAATGAAGAAAACATGAAGATCGACCTCCACCTGATCGAAGAAAGACGAGAGTAGACCTTCATCCGGGCAGAGAACTACCGGCGTCAAGTAAAATCATACTATGACGCCAAGGTACGTTCCCGGGAATTCCAGGTGGGGGACTATGTCCTTCGCCGAAGAGAAGCGAGTAAGCCGGCGGAAGGAGGCAAGCTGGCACTCAAATACGAAGGCCCCTACATCGTCAATGCCGTAATCAAACCTGGCACCTACAAACTAAAACACCCAAATGGGTCTAATGTACCACGAATGCAGCCGGCAAAGCCTTCACCTTCCCACGGATTGTTGGTCGAATGCCACCCTCGGCCTCGAGCCACTTATCAATAAAAGTTGGTTTTCTTACTTTTCTAAAAGAGTTC